GTCGTTGTCGTCAGTCGGCGTTTCGCTGCGGTGAGGGACGACCAGCACCAGAAGACATCAACTAAAAACAGTCTGGATAAGGGTATCTCGTCGGCGTCCAGCACTCAATGTCATTCTGGCGGTTTTCTAAAAGGCTAAAAGCTTAAAAGCGTAAAAGAGCTAAAAGCCTAAAACTGCCAGGGGGCTGCCACTGGGTAGGGCGACCAGCGCCTTAAAAACACCAATAAATTCTGGGAGTGTGTCTACACATGTATGGGCAGCCGGTGCCTCCTCAGTCTGGGGGGGCACCTGATTGCTGAAGGGGGGCGGGGAAGGAGAGCCCTCCAGCGTCAATTGCTGAGCCAGTGGCAAAACTGGAAGTACATTTCTACCAGCACTTCCAATTTTGGGGCTGGTGCTTCCAGGGGGTGCACGGCCAATCTCAGGGGGTGCACTTGCACCCGCATGCACCCCTTACGCATCACCAATATACACATGTACCCTGTTGGAAGAAAATCTGCTCCTTGGGAGCAAATCTGCTCCTGCCCTGCTCTGTCCTTCTATAGCAACCAGGGGAAGCTCTGGGCTTCCCTGGGGTGCTAGCCTCGGGTCTGGCTGGGGGCATGGGGCCCAGTCCCAATGCACACTGGGCCAGGCAGCACTTTGCTGGCCCTGTGCACATCATGACACAGATGCCAGCAAGCCCTGTGCCCAGCAGAGCTCCCCTGCCCAGTAGGGGGCTTGCCAACAGCTGCACCAGGAGCGGGACAGCTCCCAGTGAGCCCCTGGCAGAGTGGGGAAGCAGAGAGCTCTCCAGTCCCAGTGCTGCATGGCTCCCATCTCCCCACAGGAGCTGGGAGCTGAGCAGTGCTGGGACAGGGTGCAGCATACAGTGACCTACTCCTGGTGCTGATTTGTTCCTGGGGGGAGCCAGGAGCTGAGCAGTGCCAGGACTGGGAGAAGAGAATCCTCCATCCCCTGTGACTCCATTTGCCAGCATGGAAGAACCAGAAGCATAGAATGGCTGTTCATGTAAGTTATCACTGTCCTTTGTGAGCCCTGGGAAGAACATTTTATGTGATCAAGGAATTAAAGATTGCATATAATTCAAAAAGATTTTTGAATCATACTCATTACTGACATCTTTGAGGATATTTCCTCAGTGCTTTAAGCAATTTGATTAATGTTTGCCATGTCCTTTCCTAAGGTAAAAATTGTACAGTGGAGTGTTCTGTTTTGTAATTTATTTGATAATGTATATACCTATCTTGCTGTAAATGCTTATGTTTGAAGAGGAAAAGAAATGTACCTTTTGCTTAGAGCAGCAGGTAGCAAGGGTTGTGATAAGGCTTGTTTCTTATAATGATCATTCCACAGTTTTGGGCTGGCACCCCCAGAAAAGCGTTGACTCAGGTACTGCATAGCTTATCTTTTCTTCTGTTAGGTAGATTTACTGTGTCAGAAGATTAAAGTCATCAGTGGTGTTCTTGGTTACAGACATTTAGTTGATCTTTTACAAACCTTAGGCCCTGGCTATCAAGTACCTTGAAGACAAGGGTCAAGACCTTGAACTTGGTTACTACCTCTTGTAAAAGTGAATTTGTAAAGTGACCATCTTGTACAGTTTATACCCAGGATCATTTGTGTCTGTGCTATCTATTTTTATGGTTTCTCATGAAAGCTCTCACAATTTCACTGGTGATTTCTCATTTGATTTTTAAGAGCAAATAACATTTAATCTAATTACACAATTGGATTATGTAATCCAATCATTATATAATCCAAGCTGCAGATAATGCAGATGTTTGGTTTAACACAGGTTATTCTTTATGTTGGAAATAAGAGATTTGAGCAACAAATGGGATTAGAAGCAGTCTACATCTCTCTCCAAAGAACTGTGAATTGGAAAAGAAGAGAAATAGAGTTGTTGAGGATGTAGCTCCCGCCACAACCTGAATCCTATCTTACTTAATTATTATGATTTGTGTTGCAGTAGCACCTAACAGTCTCACTAAAGAGCTCTGTTGTGCTAGGCCAGTACAAACGTATTGGATGACACATTCCTGGCTGCCAATATTTTATGTGATTTAAATTATGACTAAACAAGTTGTAAGTAGGTCAGTAAGCCTGCTGCCTCACAGAGTGGCTTTGGTGTGGAGGGTTCCTCAGCCTTTTCTTTAAATGAAAATATAGCCCTTGCTCACACAAATAACACAGTAGATCAAAGCTTGTAGCTCTTCTCTGGGCAATAGGAGAGGCCCTTTTGCTCTGGCCTCTTCTTAGGCTTGAGCTTCTTTGCGTTCTCACTTGTCTCCTGTTGTTGACCACTTCTTTCCTCTTGCTAAGCTTCCCTGCTCTCTCCCTTTGGTTTTTAATTGCTGGTGGACCTACTTCTTGGGTGCATCTACATGTGCAATTAATGCTCATGAATAAACTCTGGAGACTATTGCTCTGGAGTTTATTGCTCCTGGGTGTTGTGTCTTCAAGATCACCTGGGACTGCAGCATGTTGATCTGGGTTGAAGCAGCCCCAGCTGGCAGGGGGCCCCCGGGGTCAACCTTCTAGCTTGGGGGTGCTCCCCCCTGTCCAAGGTGCTGTGGAGGGGCTGGCTGGGGCACAAGGGTGCTTCACTGTAGGGCTAGCTGTCAGGCAGCCCCTGCATGAAACACCCTCATGCCAAGCCAGTTGAGTCAGTATCTACATAAGTGCTCTCGCAGAGTAAAAAAATCCACAGCAGATTAGTACTTGTATTTCCAGGTGCTATTCTGCTGTGAGGTCAATTAGTTTATTTTGGCCCAATAGAGGCACATGTTTAGACACGTAACATTTACTGCACAGCTAATTAGTCTACTGCTCAGTAAACATCTCAGGTAGAGATGCCCCTTGGGTAGCTAAATGCCTGCAGCTGGGTTTTTACAGCAAAGCTATCTGCTCCCACTTAAAAGCCCAAGCTGCCCTGTTACACAAGTGAACATGGCAAACATCTCGAGAGGAGGGGAGCATAAGATAGCATAAGAATTTATGTTAAGTTTGCATAAACATGGCTTGATGGCTCTAAATCATTCAAAAGATTTATCAAAACATAATTATAAATATATATCAACAAACCCTCTTATACAAGAGTGAAAACAGGAATGTCTTTTCCTTTCCAAACCTGTTACAGTATCTCTGGTCCCAAGTAAAATAAATGACTGCAACCTTCTCTGAATCTTGCACAGACAAAAAATCAATGCTACTCAAGGCATCCTTTAGAGAATTATATTTGGTAGATATTTGGTAGCGGTATGTTGTTTTAGCTTTCTCTGTAGATCTTTTTATTCAGTTTACCTTCTAAAACACATTTATTGTAAAATAACAGCTTGTAAAAGGTAGGCAAGTGCACATTTCATATTGAAGTTCCAAATATTTCTTTTCACTATTTAATTTTAGTTAACAGTTCAGATGCAACGTAATACTGTATGGTTACATTGTACAGTTAGGTGCCAACTTTGTAAATAGTGTTTAGTTTTAAAATGTATTTACTGAGTTGTGTTAGTATGTGGGGATGTATAATGCATGTGGATCAGTAAGGTCTCATGGCTTGGAGGGCTCAACTCCTTGTGGGCCAGATCCTGTGCATTATCTCAACAAGGAGCTCTGGGAATTCAACAGGTACCGCCTAAGGAATGTAGCTACTTCTTTGGGATGTTTTAATTCTTTAAACAACTCTAGTCCCTTTTTCCAAGCTGCATCCAATAATATTTTGCTGATTCTAGACAGTGTGGATATTGTAGGTTCAGCATTTAAAATACTATGCTATGGCTATGTTATGTTAGGTTTCTTTTCAAGCAGAATTGAAACACATATCAGACAGTTTTGTTTATTTCTTTTAAGTCTTTATTTTATTCAAGGGAATAAAAAAGCACCTGCAACAAAGCAACTAGCTATTACAAATAAGTACCCAAGCCATGTAGTCACCCTATATGGGACAAACCTGGAACATCAAGGAACACCCAAACCATCAAGCTCCATGTTAAGACCACTGATCAGAAGTTGGTCTCATCTTCAGCACTGTATTGTATTGTAGCAACGGGTACAAAAATTAATTGCAGCCATGGCCATGGTTGCAATGAGTCCAATCCTGCAAGGGTATATGACAAGAGTGACTATAGTGTACAGTGGTTAGACTATAATAGTTGGCCACTCACATGTTTAAATTCTAACTAGATTGACACCAGGGTGGCATTTATCCTGAAAAAGAGATCCAGCATTACTTAATTTGTCTATTGGTCTGATATTTTAAGTGAGACCTAAAGTGTGCATCAGTTTTGTGTTAGCTGTCTCCATGGGGAACAGGAGAATTTGATTTCACCCTATCTTTCCTTGGGAAAACCACAACTGAAGTCAGTGGGATCTGCCTGTCTCTGGACCTCAGCTGGGGTTTTGCTCATGGGAAAAAATTGTTTTCTTTCCACTAAAATCTCAGAAAAAGAGCTGCTTAGCTCTTCAGGCTTGCAAATGACAGTCACCTTTTGGGCAGGTGAAAATTTCAGTCCAAAGATGACATTGTTAGTGAATTGTGTGAATGAAAACAGTTGATTATAAGGAAAACTGATTTGTAACTTTAATAAAAATCAGGCCAGTGCCTTCCCCAATGTAAATTAGTGTAGTTCCATTGAAGTTAGGAGAGGCACAGTGATATATGTGAGGTGAGCTGCACATGTGTAACACTGTTTTGTCACATTGTGTACTAGGATATAATTGCTTGAAAATATTAATTATAGGATTTCTGTCTTATGCTGGACTGAATTCTGTCCTTGACTGCACAATGTCAGTTGAAGTGAAGGAAATTACTCATGATTTGCACCTATGTATAAAAGGGCTGAATCTTACCCATCCACCAATATGCAATTTATGTTCCAGTCACTCAAATAAAAAATAAATCTACATTGTATACAATAAAACAAGAGCCATACATTATGATTCGATAGTATAGTTTCCCAGTACAAATGAAGTGTGATTTATTCTGATTCTCTCCTTGCTGTTTCTTTTGGGTTTTTTTCAGATGGCAAGTAAGCCTTGTGCCAGGTAAAATTCCAGGCATACTCAGCATGTCAGCTGGAATAAGTCCCTTACAGCGGTTCAAGAAAAAGGAATAAAAGAATCACTTCCACAGCTATGGCCACACCAAGGAAGGTTCTGCATTCCTCCCCTCCCGACGGAGGCTGGGGATGGATGATTGTTGTTGGCTGCTTTCTGGTTACTATCTGCACTAGGGCTGTGACAAGGTAAACTAGCTTCTTGCCTCACTCTCTCTTTATAGTGTTACTTCTATTTCTCTTTTTAAGAAAAAAAAGTGATGGTCTAAAAGCAAAAGCAGTCAGTGTGATAGAGGTGATATCTTTTATTAGACCAACTAGATAGTTGCAGAAACATTTTAATTATTTGCAGGCTTTTGGGCTTTTGGGCTCATGCGTCCTATTTGCTTACTTTGAGCATTTCTGGTGCTCTCCTGCATGAGAGCTATGACCTAAAGAGGCCCTTCTCTGTATATACTTTAGGTATCCCAACTAGGCAGAAAATATTTGTTGAGGTAGTTCTCAAAAATAGAAGGAGAGCAAATGGGACTACAGTGTGTATACTTGGGGAGAAGCTGCATCCTACTGCTGACTTAGTGTGATTTTTTTAATGCAAACACCTAAGAGTATGGTTGTGTCAACATGGATTTTTAAACTATCTGAAAAATATTAGGGATAGGCAGTATGTGAGAGATATTAGAAACAAAAGTTTTGTCTGACAAGCAGTTTGATATAAATACAATACTTCTTACCTCAATTATGTATTTCTTTTTAAATAAAGCTGCCAGACTTGATGAAGAAATCTTGGGGTAAGCCTCATAAAAGCTTGACTATTAATAAGTATGTGTTGGTCCAGTGTTATTTATTTACTATAGTTATATTACCTACATACTAAAAAAAGAGATGTTTTACGAAGGAGTGTTGTTCCCATAAATTTGCGTTTTTGTGTGAAATACATTGGTCTATGTTAAAGAAATAATCTAACTGATGCCTTTGAAATATAGCTTTAAACTGGGTGACAGTCCATTTTTTAGGGATAGATTAGGGGTATTTCTTGCTTTAAGAAACTTGAAACTATCCCATATCTCTTATCAAGCACTGGAGGGATTGGTGCATCCTTGATTTTTAAAGTGACATAACACAATTTATATATCGTCTTGTGAACCCATCAGCAGTGTAGGGAACCATGGAATTGTATGTTGAATTTGACATGGGTATAGTCAGAAGACGTTGGGAAAAGGACTAGTTTATTGAACTAACTTTGAGGGCTACATTGTGCAGCTGCATCATTACTGATGTTTTCATTCAAACAAGCCTCATGGGGTGCATCCACATGAGCGCACGTGTGTGTCTTGCAGCGTCTCAAGGCCCTTTGAGATGATGCAACAGGCACATGCAGGAATGAAAAAACTTTCCCCACACTGCGAATGTGCAGTGCGGAGGCAAAATTAGATCCCTGGATATCCAGGGGTTAAAAAAAAATGCAGGGGAAAAAGGCGGGGAAGGCTATGGTCCCAGACTGTGTTCAGAGGCAACTGGAGGCTTGGTCCTCCACAGAGATGCTTGGGTAACCAGGCAGAGCATCTCTATAGCTGTCCCTTGCCCAGTGCTGTAGCACGCTACCTGCCTGTGCAGGG